CCTATTAGATGGTGCTCATGTTGGTCTGATCCAGGGCTATTTTTGGGCAGGAATGCACAGGAATGGAGTTCCGGCTGGCTCCCGAGTTGGCCACGCCCAGCAGGAACTCATTAGCATAACAGGCCACACCTAACAGCAGAAACTCATTAGGATTGGCTACATTAGGGGTGTGTGGCCTAACATGCAAAGGGATTCCTGCTACAAAAAAAGCCCTGGGTTTTGACCACAAACAGGGTAAAGAGAAAAAGAAGCAAAAGGTGGGTGTGGCTGGACAACCACAGTTCTGGTAACATGGGGGTGCGGCATAATGTGCCAATGAGCTGTGCTGGCAGGGCTGTGGCCTAATAGGCTAATGGGTTTCTGGTGTTGGGTGTGGCCTATTATGCTAATAAGCTCCTGCTGGGCTTTTTCTACAAAAAGAGCCCTGCGTCCCATTCAAGTACAAACCCGGGCTGAACCTGCTTAGCTTCCAAGATATGATGATGTTGGACTAGCCGGGGCCATCCAAGTGAGAGCAAAAGACATACAGAGGCGGTCTGCCATTGCCGGCCTCTTGGGGGGATTTTCTGAGGCAGGAAGGGAGGGGGAGGAGGGAGACAGGCGGCTGCCATGCCTTCCCTGACCTCCAAGCTGTGATTCACCACTTGGAGATCAGGCCAAAACAGCCAGTTTGGTGTCGTGGTTAAATGCTCGGAGGACTCTAATCTGGGAGAAACGGGTTTGATTCCCCACTCCTCCACTTGCACCTGGCTGGATGACCTTGGGCAAGCCGTAGTTCTGTCAGAGCTGTTCTTTCAAGGGCAGTTTCTCTCAGAGCTCTCTCAGCACCACCTACATTTGAAGATGTCCCAGGACAGAAGAGAAGAAGAGATTGGATTCATACCCCACCCTTCACTCAGAGTCTCAGAGCGGCTTACAAACTCCTTTCCCTTCCCCCTTCCTCCTGTGAGGTCAGTGGGGCTGAGAGAGTTCGCCCTTGAGAGGTACTTTTCTCCCTTTCTCACAATACAAGAACCCGTGGGCACTCCATGAAATTGCAGAGCGGTCGGGTTAGAACGGATAAAAGGAAGTACTTCTTCACCCAAAGAGTGATTAACACATGGAATTCACTGCCACAGGAAGTGGTGGCGGCTACAAGCATGGACGGCTTCAAAAGGGAATTAGATAAGCATATGGAGCAGAGGTCCATCAGTGGCTATGAGCCACAAGGTACAGATAGGGGCTCTGGGGCAAGTGATGCTCTAACTCAGCTTAGAGGGAACACTGGCAGGAAGTGGTAGCGGCTACAAGCATAGACAGCTTCAAGAGGGGATTGGATAAACATCTGGAGCAGAGCAGCAGTGATGCTCTGTCTTCTTGGTTCTTGGGGGGCAACAGTGGGAGGGATTCTGGCGTTCTGGCCCCACTGGTGGGCCTTCTGCTGGCACCTGGTATTTCTGGCCACTGTGTGACACAGAGTGTTGGACTGGATGGGCCTTTGGCCTGATCCAACATTGGCTCCTCTTATGTTCTAATCATGGCTAGGAGCCACTGATTGACTTATTCTCCAATAATCTATCTAGATGTCGGATTGAGGAATGCATAACACACAGTTCTTTGCTGAGAGACTTGCTTCTAGTGTCCTGGCCCCACTGGTGCACCTTCTGATGGCACCTGGTATTTCTGGCCACTGTGTGACACAGAGTGTTGGACTGGATGGGCCTTTGGCCTGATCCAACATTGGCATCTCTTATGTTCTTAACAGTTCTGACAGGACTTGTAACTGACCCAAGGTCACACCAGCAGCTGCGACTGGAGGAGTGGGGAATCAAACCCGGTTCTCCCAGATTAGAGTTCGCGCACTTCACCATGACACCCCCCGCCAGCGAAAGGTAGGGACCTGGCAACGCTAGATTTGACTGACAGAAAATGGTCCCTTCCTCTGCATTTTCAGAGTGCAATGGCTTGGCGGTGTTGCTGCCTGCAACAGAACTGAATGAATTAAAAAAAAAAAGTCCCTGAAGTGCTCTCTCCCCTTACCCCAAGCGACAGGAGGCCAATCAGTTTTTGCTGTATCGTTACTGCGATGGGACACCGAGTACCTTCCAGCAATTAGCATTACCAAAGGATTTAAGTATTTCCTTTTTCTGGAGCAGTGCTATGCATGGAGGGGGGCTAATGTAGTATTTTTATTTATTTATTTATTTATGGGAGCCAGTTTGGTGTCGTGGTTAAGTGCGCAGACTCTAATCTGGGAGAACCGGGTTTGATTCCCCACTCCCCCACTTCCACCTGCTGGATGACCTTGGGCAAGCCATAGTTCTGCCAGAGCTGTTCTTGAAAAAGAGCCATTTCTGTCAGAGCTCTCTCAGCCCCACGTGCCTCACAGGGGGTCTGTGGTGGGGAGGGGGAGGGGAAAGGAGTTTGTAAGCTGCTCTGAGACTCCTTTGGTAGTGAAGGGTAAGATATAAGACAGCCAGTTTGGTGTGGTGGTTAAGTGCGCAGACTCTAATCTGGGAGAACCGGGTTTGATTCCCCACTCCCCCACTTCCACCTGCTGGATGACCTTGGGCAAGCCATAGTTCTGATAAGAGCTGTTCTTGAAAAAGAGCAGTTTCTGTCAGAGCTCTCTCACCTACCTCACAGGGTGTCTGTGGTGGGGAGGGGAAGGGAAAGGAGTTTGTAAGCCATTCTGAGACTCCGAGTGAAGGTCCCTGTAATAAACCACCCTTATGAAACCCAGACTCTTGAAAGAAGACTCTTGAGAGTCCCTTGGACAGCAAGGAGATCAGATCAGTCAATCCTCAAAGAAATCAACCCTGACTGTTCCCTGGAAGGCCAGATAATGAAGCTGAAGCTCAACTACTTTGGCCACCCAATGAGAAGGGAGCACTCAACTGGAGAAGACCCTGATGCTGGGAAAGACTGAAGGTCAAAGAAGAAAGGGACGGCAAAGGATGAGATGGTTAGACAGTGCTATAGATGCAACGAACATGAAATTGAGCAAACTCCGGAGCACGACAGAAGACAGGATGTGATTTATACCCCACCCTCTCTGCCAGAGCAGGCTCAGGGCGGCTTACATAAAAGCTGTAAAACAGATAAAACAGAACTAATATAAATATAAAACCAACATAAAGGGCTAGTAAGCAGTTTGTATAACAATGGCAATACAGTATCCGCACTCTTTTTGACCATCGCTATGCATGCACAGAAGGAGCTGCGGTGGCTCAAGTGGTTAAGACGCTGAACTGCAGGCTGTGGAAGGGCGGTCGTTCAGCAGTTCGAGACCCGAGTGTGCCGCATGACGGAGTGAGCTCCCGTCTCTAGTTCCAGCTCCTGCCATCCTAGCAGTTCGAAAGCAAGACATTGCAAGTAGATAAATAGGTACCACTTCGGTGGGAAGGGAACAGCGTTCCGTGCGCCTTTGTGTTTAGTCATGCCGGCCACATGACCACGGAAATGTCTTCCGACAGCGCTCGCTCTTTGGCTTGGAAACGGAGATGAGCACCGCAACCCTAGAGTCGGGTTCAACTGGCTTTCGAGCAAGGGAAACCTTTACCTTTTTATGCATGCACAATTCTTTTAAAGCTGGGCTGAGACTCATGGCAGCAGCCTGGCAAAGGGCAGGGAAGCTATCTGCATCTGGTGTGAAAGGGAAGCAATGGCAAACGTGTTTGCCTGTGGACTCTCTGTTGCAAGTGCAAACTGAGCAACGCCTGCACTGGCAACGCGACCACCATGGAAGCACACCCTCGCGTTGAGGCAAGAGGTAGCTGACCTCACCTACAGTACTGTGTTCAGTTTCGGGCACCACAATTCAAGAAGGATATAGACAAGCTGGAACATGTCCAGAGGAGGGCAACGGAGATGGTGAGGGGCCTGGAGACCAAGTCCTGTGAAGAAAGAATGAAGGAGCTGGGTGTGTTTAGCCTGGGGAGGAGACGACGGAGAGGTGATAGGAGAACCACATCTTCCAGTATTTGAAGGGCTGTCAAATAGAGGATGGTGTGGAATTGTTTTCTGTTGCCCCCAGAAGGTCGGACCAGAACCAACGGGTTGAAATTAAATCAAAAGAATTTTTGGCTAAACAATAGGAGGAACTTCCTGACAGTTAGAGGGGTTCCTCAGTGGGACAGGCTTCCTCGGGAGGTGGCGGGCTCTCCTTCTTGGGAGGTCTTCAAGCAGAGGCTCGATGGCCCCATCTGACAGCAGTGCGGGCTCTCCTTCTTGGGAGGTCTTCAAGCAGAGGCTCGATGGCCCCATCTGACAGCAGTGCTGATTCTGTGAACGTGGGCAGACCATGAGAGGGAGGGCAGGAAGGGTTGCCTCAGGGCTTAGTTCTGACACACCCAGGGAAATGCCGATCGCCCCTTTGGGGTCAGGAAGCCCTTTTTCTCCAGGCCAGTTTGGCTGGAGATCCTGGAGTTGTGGGGGTTTTTTTGTCATCTTCTGGGTGTGAAACAGCAGTCACTGCGGGGGTGGGGGTGGGGAGGTAGTTGTGAATTCCCTGCATTGTGCAGGGGGTTGGGCAACTAGATGACACCGGAGGTTCCCTTCCAACTCTGTGATTCTATGAAGCAAAGCTCTTGCCGTGAGCTAACCCGGCTGGGAAAGGGAGAGGCAAGCACCCTCTGCAAAACAAACGCCCTTCCTCCATCTTGCCTTGGAGGTCCCGTCACTCAGCGGGGAGGGCGAGGGCTGCCTCACCTGGTCTTTGTTCGCCACGCAGTCCTTCACGTCAGGAAGCTGCTTCAGCAGAGGCCGGGGCACCTTCTGCTTATAGGCGTGGCCGAGGATGTCGCTTTTCTGCACGCGTCAGCATGGAAAGAAGAAGTGAGGGGCGTCACTGGGGCCACCGTTCCTCCAGCCACCGGGCCCTGAACTACCCAGAGGTCTCCCGCGCTTCCAAAGGACTCTCCTCGCCTGCCGCTTACACTTGGGACTCACCCCCAGAACTCCTGCCTGGACTCGCCGCTCCCCACATCCCCAGCTGATACGGAGTTCAAGCTCCCGTTCACTCACATTCCTTCATTCGCCTCTCCTCTAAAATGAGAGATCACGGGAGGAAGTGGAATTCCAAAAACAACATCCATGACGAAAATAACAAAGAGTCAATAAAGATAAGGTGCAAAAAACGTTTACTGTAGTAATTTCTGTAGAAAATTTTCTTCTATTATCGCTCACACGCTAACAAATACTGCGCAATGAAAACAATTCGTTTCACAATATTTGCGTTATCTGAGCTTGTAGCCATCCCAATTCTTATCACTACTTATCAACTCTTGAAGGAAAGATTCCATGTTGACTCTCTAATAACAGAACCCAAGGTCTTCACAATATATTAGCTGGATTCAAAAAGCCAAACTTTATGTGGAGAATATGTTGTCGAAGGCTATCACGGCTGGAGTTCACTAGTTGCTGTAGATTTTCCGGGTTGTGTGGCCATGGTCTTTACATTGGAGAACCTGATGTTTCACCAGTAGCTGTGACTGGCATCCTCAGAGGTATAACACAGAAAGATGGAGTAGTCTCTGTGTCAAAGTGAGAAGAAAATGGTAGGCAGGTAATTTATATCTACTCCAGGACACAGTATTTTGTTCCACAACACTGAAAGGCTGGACAACACTCCCAGTTACCATGCCAGATTACACAGGGAAGCCATTGAAATTCATAAACATAAACACAATTTCAACAGGAAAGAAGAGAGAGTAGAGATAAATAGGGCATGATTTCCTGTCCTGGAAAACACAAAAGGCTCTACATCTGACAATAGCACTACAGATGAGAGCCAGTTTGGTGTAGTGGTTAAGTGTGCGGACTCTAATCTGGTAGAACCGGGTTTGATTCCCCACTCCTCCACTTGCACCTGCTGATGTGACCTTGGGTCAGTCACAAGCTCTGTCAGAGCCGTCCTTGAAAAAGAGCAGTTTCTGTCAAGAGCTCTCTCAGCCCCACCCACCTCACAGGGTGTCTGTTGTGGGGAGGGGAAGGGAAAGGAGTTTGTAAGCCGCTCTGAGACTCCAAGTGAAGAGCGGGGTATAAATCCAATCTCTTCTTCTTCTTCTAAGATTAGAATTTCAACAGCCAATCCACATACAAAAGAACCTCCTCAGGAAACAGGAAACCTCCTCAAGAAACAATCCATATGCAAAAGAACCTCTTCAGGAAAGGTCCTCCATTAGCATATTCATAGCCTGGGGAACTCCTACAAGATAATGACTTAGCCCTACCCCACCTTCTGGAGTTTCCTCCGGAATTACCTGCCTACCATTTTCTTCTCACTTTGACGCAGAGAGTACTCCATCTTTCTGTGTTATACTTCTGAGGATGCCAGTCACAGTTACTGGCGAAATGTCAGGTTCTACAATGCCAAGACCATGTCCGCACAACCCGGAAAATCTACAGCAACTAGTTTATGTGGAGACTTTATGTTTGGCTTTGAGAATCCAGCTAATACATTGTGAAGACCTTGGGTTCTGTTATTAGAGAGTCAACATGGAATGTTTCCTTCGAGTAGTAGTTCCTTCAAGATAAGTAGTAATTGATAAGAATTGGGATTGCTACATGCTCAGATAAAGCAAATATTGTGAAATGAATTGTTTTCATCGCGCAGTATTCGTTAGCGTGTGAGCGATAATAGAAGAACATTTTCAACAGAATTACTACAGTAAACGTTTTTGCAACTTATCTTTATTGACTCTTCATTATTTTAGTCCCGGATGGTGTTTTTGGAATTCCACTTCCTCCCGTAATCTCTCATTTTTGGCCTCAACTCCCTGGTGGGGCCTGGAGATCTCCCAGGGTTACAGCTAACCTCAGGACTGCAGAGATCAGTTCCCCTGGAGGAAAGGGCTGCTTGGGAGAGTGGAGTCCAATGCTTCCTCTAAGCTGTGGAGTCTTGTGAGCAAAACTCCTTCTTTGTGAGCTACTGGCATTAAAGCTGTGAGTGAGCGATTTGACTGCTGCATCAATTAGTTAGCTCTGGAGCCATTCTTCCTGAGCTGAGACAAAAATTGTGTGTGCCGGAGGCTAAAAAAAAGGTAAGCTGGCTCACACTAACTCAGCTTAGAGGGAACACTGGTGGCGTCTATGGTGTTGTACTCCACTGAGGTCCCCCAGGCCCCAGCCCCAAATCTACAGGAGTATCCCAGCCTCGATCTAACCCTACCCCACAGGTGGCTAGGGAATACCTGTTCACTTTACTTCACCCCCCAAATCCCCAGGTATTTCCCAACCCGGAGCTGGAGAGTGGAGTCTATGGCATTGTACCCCGCTGAGGTCCCTGTCCTCCACCCAACCCGCCCTCCCCAGACTCCATTCCCAACACTCCATGAAATTCCCAACCTTGTAGGGATGCCAGCCTCCAGGAGGGACCTGGAGATCCCTCAGAATTACAACTCATCCCCAGACTGCAGGGATCAGTCCCCCTGGAGAAAACGGATGCTTTGCAATGTGGACTCCGTGGCCTTGTAACAGTGTTCCCTCTAAGCTGAGTGAGTGTGAGCTAGCTCACCATTTTTTAGCCTCCGGCACACACATTTTTGTCTTTGCTCAGGAAGGAGGGCTCCAGAGCAAACTAATTTATGCAGTAGCCAAATCACTCGCTCACAATTTTAAGGCCAGGAGCTCACAAAGTAGAATTTTTGCTTACAAGACTCCACAGCTTAGAGGGAGCATTGCATTGTACCCCACTGAGTTCCCTGTCCTCCCCACTCTCCATCTCCAAATCTCCAGGAGTTTCCCCAGCCTGGATCGGGCACCCCTATGCCTCCCGTCACCCATCAGTGGCCAAGGGGGCCCCCGGAAACCCTTCTCCAACCGGCAAGCCTCCTCCCAGGCCAGTTTTAGACCGCAAGCTCTTCAGAGCAGACACTGGGCCCGTCGCTTGTCCCACACACACTGGTACCGCCACGTTACACTCTTCCTCCTCGGCCACCTCTCGGGTCCCTCCCCTTCTCCCCCCCCCCCCCCCCCAAACCCCCCTTTCCTGAATCCTCCCACTTCCGAAAGGAAGCCTCGATCTGGTCCTCCGAAAACTGGGTCATCCGGGTCTCCTTCTGGATCAGGTCCTGCATCTTGCCGGCGCCGGCGCCGGAGACAGCGCTGCTCGTACTCATGTGCAGGAAATCCATCAGCATGGACTGCTCCCTCTTCTGGAGGCTCAGGGTCTGGACGATGCTGCGGGTGCTCCTGGGAGGCGGAGAGGCAGAGAGGCAGGGGATGGGGAGGACCCGCAGGTGGTTGCGGGAGACCTCCTTGGCCACTCGGGAAGGCGGACTCTATGGCATTATACGCCACCGAGGGCCCTCCCCCGGCTCCACCTGGGGTTGCCAACCTCCAGGTGGGGGCGGGAGTTCTCCCACAATTACGGCTGGTCTCCAGATGACAGCGATCCGTTCCCCTGGAGAAAATGACCGCTTTGGAGGGTGGAATTGTACCCCATCGAAGCCCCTCCTCTCCCCAAACCCCACCTTCTGCAGGCTCCACCCCCTACATAAGAACATTAGAGAAGCCATGTTGGATCAAGCCATTGGCCCCTCCAGTACAACACTCTGTGTCACACAGTGGCCAAAACCCAGGGGCCATCAGGAGGTCCAGCAGTGGGGCCAGAATTCCAGAAGCCCTCCCACTGTGCCCCTCCCCAGCACCAAGAACACAGAGCATCACTGCCCCTGAAAGAGAGTTCCATTTAGACCTTGTGGCTCATAGCCACTGATGGACTTCAGCTCCATATAAGAACATAAGAGAAGCCATGTTGGATCAAGCCATTGGCCCCTCCAGTCCAACACTCTGTGTCACACAGTGGCCAAAAATACCAGGAGCCATAAGGAGGCCCAGCAGTGGGGCCAGGACACTAGGAGCCCTCCCACTGTTGCCCCCACCCTCCAAGCACCAAGAATACAGAGCATCACTGCCCCAGACCTAAAAACATAAAGAGAAGCCATGTTGGATCAGACCAATAGCCCATCCAGTCCAGCCTGTCACACACTGGCCAAAACACACGGGCCATCAGGAGGTCCACCAGTGGGGTCAGAACTCCAGAAGTCCTCCCACTGTGCCCCCCCCAGGCACCAAGAAGACAGAGCATCACTGCCCCAGACCTAAAAACATAAAGAGAAGCCATGTTGGACCAGCCCAATGGCCCATCCAGTCCAACACTCTGTGTCACACAGTGGCCAAAACCCAGGGGCTATCAGGAAGTCCATCAGCAGGGCCAGAACGCCAGAAACCCTCCACTGTGATCCCCCCCCCAAGCACCAAAGATACAGAGCATCACTGCCCCAGACATAAGAGAAGCCCTGTTGGATAAGGTAATGGCCCATCCAGTCCAACACTCTGTGTCACACACTGGCCAAATCCCAGGTGCCATCAGAAAGTCCACCACTCCAGAAGCCCTCCCACTGTTGCTGCCCAAGCACCATAAATACAGAGCATCACTGCCCCAGACAGAGTGTTCCCTCTAGACCTTGGGGCTAGGATCCGCTGATGGACCTCGGCTCCATATAAGAACATAAGAGAAGCCCTGTTGGATCTGGCCAATGGCCCATCCAATCCAACACTGTGTCACACAGTGGCCAAAACGACCAGGTGCCATCAGGAGGTCCACCAGCGGGGCCAGAACTCCAGAAGCCCTCCCACTGTTGCCCCCCAAAAACCAAGAATACAGAGCCTCACTGCCCCAGATAGAGTGTTCCCTCTAGACCTTGGGGCTCATAGCCACCAAGGACCTCTGCTCTAGACGTTTCTTCAATCCTCAGGTATATCCCAACCCAAGAGCTAACAGAGATCCTACTCTGCTGCCCAGGCAAGTGGCAAGGAGACTAAATTCACTACACTCTTAAGCGTCTTAAAGATATAAGATTATGCATGGGAAAGAGCAGGTAGAGAAAGAGATACTTTTATCCCTTTCTCACAATACAAGAACTCCTGGGCACTCCATGAAATTGCGGAGCAGTCGGGTTAGAACGGATAAAAGGAAGTACTTCTTCACCCAAAGAGTGATTAACACTTGGAATTCACTGCCACAGGAAGTGGTGGTGGCTACAAGCATGGACGGCTTCAAAAGGGAATTAGATAAGCATATGGAGCAGAGGTCCATCAGTGGCTATTAGCCACAAGGTATAGATAGGGACTCTGGGGCAAGTGATGCTCTGTCATCTTGGTGCTTGGGGGGGGGGCAGCAGTGGGAGGGCTTCTAATGTCCTGGCCCCACTGGTGGACCTCCTGATGGCACTGGTATTTCTGGCCACTGTGTGATACAGAGTGTTGGACTGGATGGCCTTTGGCCTGATCCAATATTGGCATCTCTTATGTTCTTATAGTAGGAGGAGCCAGCCGTGATGCGTCAGGCACACTTAAGGGAAGGCATGTGGCTCAGTGGCAGGGTGTCTGCTTGGCAAGCAGAAGGTCATAAGAACATAAGAGACGCCAATGTTGGATCATGCCAAGGGCCCATCCAGTCCAACACTCTGTGTCACACAGTGGCCAGAAATACCAGGTGCCATCAGGAGGCCCACCAGTGGGGCCAGGACATTAGAAGCCCTCCCACTGTTGACCCCCCCAAGCACCAAGAAGACAGAGCATCACTTGCCCCAGAGTCCCTATCTATACCTTGTGGCTAATAGCCACTGATGGACCTCTGCTCCATATGCTTATCTAATTCCCTCTTGAAGCTGTCCATGCTTGTAGCCGCCACCACCTCCTGTGGCAGTGAATTCCAAGTGTTAATCACTCTTTGGGTGAAGAAGTACTTCCTTTTATTCGTTCTAACCCGACCGCTCAGCAATTTCATGGAGTGCCCACGAGTTCTTGTATTGTGAGAAAGGGAGAAAAGTACCTCTTTCTCTACCTGCTCTTTCCCATGCATAATCTTATAAACCTCAATCATGTCACCCCTCAGTTGTCTTTTCTCCAAGCTAAAGAGCCCCAAGCGCTTTAACCTTTCCTCATAGGGAAAGTGTTCCAACCCTTTTATCATTCGAGTTGCCCTCTTCTGCACTTTTCCCAAAGCTATAATATCCTTTTGAAGGTGTGGTGACCAGAACTGCACACAGTATTCCAAATGGAGGTCCCCGGTTCAATTCCTGGCAGCATCTCCAGCAAAGAGGAGCCGGTGACGGGAAAGATCTGAGACCCTGGAGAGCCGCAGCCGACTCCGAGGACGTGTCCTTAATGGCAGAGATGAATCTGAAACCGCCTTGGAGGGCAGAGCCCGCTACTCACTCCCAGTGGGGCTGTCGGCCTTCATTCAAGACCTTCAGGGTGTGGAGGGAGCCCACGCGGCGGATCTCCTCCGGCACCTCCGCAATCACCGGCTGCTTGCTCCCGAGTTTCCAGGTGGCCTGTCCAAACGTCCCTGTAAGTCAAGCCAGGAGCAGAGAAGGTGGTGGGAACAGGCAGGACGGCACTGCTGCAACCAGGGCTCCCTCTAAGCTGTGGAGCCCTGTGAGCAAAAACTGTACTTTGTGAGCTACTGGCATTAAAGTGGTGAGTCAGCGACTGGGCGGCTGCATCCGTTGGTTTGCTCTGGAGCCCTCCTTCCTGAGCGAAGGCAACAAAACCGCGTGACCCGGAGGCTAAAAAAACTGTGAGCGGGCTCACACTCACTCAAGCTTAGAGGGAACACGGGTTGCAAAGCTGCCTCCGGCCCAGGCGGCTGACTGCTGCCCCCATTCAAGCCAATAGATTTCCGTAAGCCCGATCTTGTCGGCTCTCGGAAGCTAAGCAGGGTCGGCCCCGGGTTAGTCCTTGGATGGGAGACCACCAAGGAAGCCCAGGGTTGATATGGAGAGGGAAGGGAATGGCAGACCACCTCTGTTTGTTTCTCCCCTGACCTGGACGGCCCAGGCTAGACTGATCTCATCCGGTCTCGAGAGTTAAACCAGGTCAGCCCTGGTTTGTACTTGGACGGGAGACCACCAAGGAAGTCCAGGGTTGCCACGCAGAGGCAGGCGAGGGCAAACCCACCTCTGAGCGTCTCTTGCCTTGACCTGGACAGCTCAGGCTAGCCCAAATTTGCCAGATCTTGGAAGAAGCTAAGCAGGGTTGGTCCGGGATAGTCCTTGGATGGGAGACCACCAAAAAGTCCAGGGTTGTCACGCAGAGGCAGGCAAGGGCAGACCGCCTCTGAGCGTCTCTTGCCTTGACCTGGACAGCTCAGGCTAGCCCAAAGTCGCCAAATCTCAAGAAGCTAAGCAGGGTTGGTCCGGGATAGTCCTTGGATGGGAGACCACCAAAAAGTCCAGGGTTGTCACGCAGAGGCAGGCAAGGGCAAACCACCTCTGAGCGTCTCTTGCCTTGACCTGGACAGCTCAGGCTAGCCCAAATTTGCCAGATCTTGGAAGAAGCTAAGCAGGGTTGGTCCGGGTTAGTACTTGGATGGGAGACCACCAAGGAAGTCCAAGGTTGCCACGCAGAGGCAGGCAAGGGCAAACCACCTCTGAGCGTCTCTTGCCTTGACCTGGACAGCTCAGGCTAGCCCAAATTTGCCAGATCTTGGAAGAAGCTAAGCAGGGTTGGTCCGGGATAGTCCTTGGATGGGAGACCACCAAGGAAGTCCAAGGTTGCCACGCAGAGGCAGGCAAGGGCAAACCACCTCTGAGCGTCTCTTGCCTTGACCTGGACAGCTCAGGCTAGCCCAAATTTGCCAGATCTTGGAAGAAGCTAAGCAGGGTTGGTCCGGGTTAGTACTTGGATGGGAGAC